GGAATGGCTAATCTCACATCAGACAAATTAGATTTTGAATCAAAAAAAGATAGGAGAGAAGAAACATTATATATTAATTACAAGTCCAATCCCACAAGAAGATATAACAAGTATAAACATTTCCACACCCAATAATAGACCATAAAAATATAGGAAATGAACACTGACACATTGACAGGAGAAATAAGCAGTTTTACAGTAGTCTTTTATATCCCCCTCCTCTGGATAACAGAGCAACCAGAGAGAAGATAGATAAGGAAATAGAGGACTAAATAATAAAATAAACCAATCCACTCTCATAAACATATGCAGAACACCGCCCGACAACAAGAACATGCACATTTTTTTTTTAAAGTGTACCTGAGACTTTTCCAGGATAAACCATAAGTTAGGTCACAAATGAATATCCATAATTTAAACAGATAGCTATCGTACAAGGTATCTTCTCTCATCACGGTGGGATAAAGTCATTAATCAATAAGAGAAGTAAAATTAGAAAAATTGCAAACAAATTAAAAACACAGTCTTACCCAACAGATAAAAGAAGAAATCACAAGAGAAATGAGAAAATATTTCAAGGTGAATGAAAATGAAAACGCAATGTACCAAAACTTACGGGACATAAAAGCAGTGCCAAGAGGGAAATTTGTAACTTTAAATGCTTACATTAAAAAACACAAAAACGACCCAGTGGCTTCACAGTAACACAAGGCTCTGCAATGCTAAGGCCAAATCGGAAGGTCCCAGGTTTGTGTCCTGAGGTCCCCATATTCATGCTGGGCGTGTGCACACCTGTGGTCCTGGCTGGCTGAGGCTGGGAGTGGACTGTGGTATGACGATCCTAGCGGGATGCTTGTCTCTCTGTCACATGCTCTTTCTCAGAATGAATAAGTAAATACATTTTTTAAAAATACAAGAAAGATTTAAATCAGCAACCTAATTTTACATCTTAAGAAAGTAGAAGAACAAACTAAACCCAAAGCCAGCCAAAGAAAGGAAATAATGAAGATTAGAGCAGAGCCGAAACAATCTTGGAAAAGATGAAAAAAGATGGAGGACTCATTTCCTAACTTCAAAACTTACGACAAAGCTATGACAATCATAGTTGATACTGGCATAAAGACAGACATATAAACTAAATAAAAAGCCTGAAGAATAAAAAAAGCCTTGCACATATGATGAAAATTATTTTTTAAGATTTATTTAATTTTATTTGTTATTATTATTTATTTTTTAATTTGACTACAGAGGGACAGAGAGAGAAAGAGAAAGGGAAAGTGAGAAAACAAGCTGCCAGGTCTGGGACTCGAACCACAGTCGGCCATGTGGGAGTCCAGTGCTACAATCACCAAGCCACCTGCCAGGCCCTGATCAAATTATTTTTAACAAGGGTGCTAAGATCATTTAATGGGGAAAGGATATTCTTTTCGATAAATGAAGCTGGGAAAACTGGATAGCAACGTGAAAAAAAGACAAGTTGGACTCATACCAAACACCACATGTAAAAATTACTTTGAAATGGATCAAAGACTACAAACAATAAAACTCTAAGAAGAAAACGTAGGGCAAAAACTTCGCAACATTGGATTTGGCAAATACTTTCACAGGTGAACTCAATCAAGCTTAAATGAAATAATACCAATCTTACACAAATCCTTCCAAAAATAGAAGAGAAGGGAACACTTCTAGACGCATTTTATGAAGTCAGCAGATGTTACAAGGAAAACTATAGATGAAGTCTCAGCAAGTCTAATCCAAGATATAAAAAGAATAACACAACATCGTGACTAAACAGGGTTTATTCAGGAATGCAAAGCTGGCTTGACCACTGAGGGGCCAGGTGTTGGCACAAATGCACCCACATGGGAAAGTCCCTAGGTTTGTGTTCCATGACCTCCCTAAGCATGCAGGGATGACACTCCTGAGTTCATCATCTGGGCTGGCTGAGAGTGGGGGCGGGTTGCAGAGAACACTGTTGGGGTGTTTGTGTATGTTTCTCTCTCTGTTTCTCATGCTCATAAAGGAGGCAGAATAACTTAAATTTTAAAATAAAGAAAATAGAATGGCTCAACAGTGAAAAAGAAAATCAATCAATGAAACTTGCATTATTAAGAGGGTCCATACATGGGCATATCCATTTATAAATCTCACCAAATCGTACATTTTAGCTCCATGCCTTTCACTATATGTAAAGTTTGCCTTGATACTTAAAAAAAAAAAAAACATGGGTACCCAATTCTAGGCCACACACAGACACAGACTGGCTATCTTTTAAGACCACTCCTAGTTCATGACTAGAACATCATATCCTTATTATAGATAAACACATCTTTCTCTAATGCAGTAAATGTCATCATCCAGTTTATCCAAAAGTGGTTTTTAGGTAATTAGGATAAAAAATTTTAAAGGAATGAGGGTGAAGAAGGAATCAGAACATCTCTGTGGGAGGTGAGGGCAAAATCCAAACATATCTGTGTTTCCTCCTACTCACGATCTTCCCTGGCTGTGTTGAGAGTTCACAGCTCCCCACCCTGATTCTCCTGGGAGCTGGTGACTCCTCAGAACAGACCTCCCCTGGGTATCTAATTCCCGTCTGATTGTGATCATTTTAAGCAGCCCTATTACTTCATGGTAACATTTATGCCTCCAATACTGTGGTGCCAAGGGCTTTCTGGCAAGGCCATTACTTCTGAAATTAAGTCAGCCTGCAGGTCCCATAGCTCTTAGATAATGTAATATAAAAACTCTAATCTAGAAACTTTTCATTTGAAAGCATAACAAATATCTGACTGTTTTGCATTTCGGGTTTTGGAGAATCAAAAGATTCTTGTGACATTTTTAATCTCTCTCAACTTGTGAGCTCAAAGAATTTGTTGTTATGCCACATTTTCTTTGGGATCACTTATTCACACTCAGGGAAAATCATTCAGGGGCTTTATTATGTAATTCTATGAGGAGCTCCAACGTGAAATAACTGAATCAAACTGGAAGCTGTATTAGAGCCCAGATTTTGCTTTTTTAATTTTCGCTTATTAAAAAAGTTTTAAGGTCCTACCAAGTGCAAAATATTCTCCCAAGCACTTCAAACAACAAAGACAAAAGAATGTAGAGAGGTTTGAGTTTAGAGAGCTTAAAACAAGTAAGGAAGATGAAATATAAACGTTAACAGCTGGTAAATATGGCGGCATGAGAGAGGTACCCGAATACTCCCAATCCTAGTCAGCTGGGAATGTAAGAGGGAGTTTTATAATCAAGGTACCATTTGGTTTGGGGCCTTATAAGCTAAGGGGGATTTTAATATGGAGGTCAAGGAAGAGGGGCACTACTCTTGGAGAACTAAGGCTGGAAAGATAGAGGGGCCTGCGATCAAGAGACTGAATTCAGCTGGTAGTTGGAAGCCACTGCAAGATTTTGAAAACCATCCTGCTACGTGATATTTCTCAAATGTAAACTTAAGATGCTTGTGGAGTGAACCAGACCTCTGTCAGTTTGCATGGCGGTTAAGGCACTAGACACCCACATGGATGACCACAGTTCAAGTCCTGGACTCAGCAGCTTGAAAATCACACTAGACGCATGCTCAAAATCCCTAGAAGAGAATGGAGAAGGATAATGAGCGGTGATTTCTTACTTTCCTTCTCTTTGTCTCTCTCTGGTGAGTGAGTGTACACACCCTGTGGCAAAAACCTAAAAACAAAATAACAACAACATCAAAAACAGATCTCTAAAGTCTATTTTCTTTCTTTCTTTTTAAGAGAGATTTTTGCTTTAGGGCATGTGTGCTCACCAGACAGACAGAAATCACAGAGAGAAATCACCCCCTAGGGGAGATGGCCACGTCGGAATCCGTTCTTCTCCATTTTTCTCTTGGGATCTTGAGCACACACGCACACGCACACAGTGTGAGTGTAAGCCACCGGGTCTGGAACTTGAACCACAGTCAACCACGTGGGAGCCCAGCAGTGTAACCATTACGCCATCTGCTGGTCCCTAAAGTCTATTTTCTGAAATAGTCTATTGTCAAGTAAATCACTGTAAAATATCTCTGGGTTTCCATTTACTTCTTACCAACGGCACTTAGAGTATAACAATGGAATGAAATGGTCTTCTCCGTGTGGAAAGGAGCTGAATAAATGTGCTGGATGAGCCCTGGCCTTGCTGGAAATTCAGGGGAACAGCAGAAAGTCCCTGGTGTGTGGCGCTGGGGCCACAGGGCCTTGTGCTGGGCCCTTCTGCCGGGCCTGAGTTGGTGGTGGCACCATCAGCAGGTACTGAGAGCTCCCTGGAGAAGGGCCCTCACATTCTCTCCAGGAAGCCTGAGTGAGAGTTCAACAGACCAGCACCCAGGGTACACTCACCAGTGATATAGAAGGCCTTGTAACGCTCCAGGCGGACAGTCTGCAGGGCTCCGGGCTCTCCAGCTGCTCCACTGTTGGGGTGGAACAGCACCTGCAAAAGGGAACAGAGCTTACAAAAAAGAAAACCACACAGGACACTCCCTTGGAAAGCATCGCTTTTTTTGTCACAGAGAGCCCTCTTCACCACCCCCACTCTCCTCTAACCCCACCTCCAAACTCGCTTTGACAGACACAGGCCTATAGTCCACACCTGTCAACTCCCTCCGGCAAGCCTCTCTGAAGTAGCTCTTTTGCTAGTTAATGCATCAGAGTGCGTTCTAACTCTGACCCAGCAGGTGAAAGTTCTCACTGAAAAGTCAGCTTCCTGGATCCAGTACCTTCTTTGCAATTTTCCAGGTCCATTGTAAAATGAGAATCAGGAATATCTTATTCACAAATCAAAATTTTCAAGATAGCCCCAGCAAAGCTTTAAACCAAGTGAGGGGTCCTTCTAACTGTGGGGCCCGAGGGGGCTGCCCTGGTCAAAGGCCCTGCCTGAACCCCACCCTTCCAGGTTCAGGAGGGGCCTGGGGACCTCCATGTTTTACAAGTATTCCCAGGGATTCAGGTGCAGGCAATCCTCAGATCTCTGTGAAAAAACAGACTTAGGGGCCAGCAGGTAGTTTAATGGTTAACGCACTGGACTCCCACACAGCCGACTACAGCTCAAGTCTGGACCTGGCAGCTTGAAACGTGCAAAACCTGTGTGCATGCCCAAAATCCCAATAGGAGGAGAGAGGAGAACAGATTGTGATATGGTCATCCCCCCCAGGGGGTGATGTCTCACTTTCTGTCTCTCTCTGTCTCTCCAGCAAGAGCCCATGCCCTATAGCAAAAATCTCTCCAAAAAACAAAAAACAGCTTCATCAGCATCAAGTCGATTTTCCAACTCTCCCTTAAGCAAGGATGGTATAAGAAGGTGTCCCTGGGAGCAGGCAGTGGTGCAGCGTTAAACACAGTGCTCTGGGAGGCAGTCCTATGTAAGAAGGTTCCCAGTGCAAGTTGGGGCCTCCCTGAGCACCAGGCATGTGCTTGCCTATGATGTGGGGGTGGATGAAGGCTGAGGATGGGTCATGACATCAAGAACATGTTGGGGTGTCATCTCTCTCTCCACTCTCTCTTGCTAATGGACGAGATAAATTATTTATGTATATGTATATATATATGTATATGTATATATATATATATATATACACACACACACACACACACACACACACACACACACACATACACACACACATATATAAGAGTTTTGGCCATGGGGCTTATGTGCTTGCTGGAGAGAGACAGACAGAGGTAAAGTGAGAAATCTCCCTTTGGTGGGATGGAGGCGGTTGACCACACCACAATCTGTCCTCCACTCTCCTCTTAGAATTTTGGGCATGCATGTACACATGCCTGCCATGTTTTCAGGCTGCCATTTGAGACTCGATCTGTGGAGTTGGCCAGCACCTTAAGCATCTCGCCACCTGCTGGCCTTTTATTTTTTTTCTTGAAGGCGTCCTTGCTTTCTTCCAAAGAGGGCAGAGCCTGGCTAAATCCTACTGTACATGGAATGAAGAGATCTTTCCTCATTGGGTCACGGATGGAAGAATCACCCTACAGAATAGAAACACCTAATTCAGGGTTCCCAAGGGAAGGATCTGTAGAAAATGAAAGGCCTGTGTCCTCGTAGGTTGGTGGGCTTGCTCTGGAAGCACGAGACTGCCCTGGTATGAATCATGACCTTATATATCGCTGCAGAGGCGCGTATGTGATTCAAAGTTTCCATGGGGCTTTGTAAAAATGAGAAACATCTGTGGCAGCAGTAAACAGCTGTCTCCCCCAGGTTTCACAGCTCTGAGAGGACGCCGCCGAGGTGGGGGCCCCCCAGCACCTGCTGCCTCTGTGCTCTCATGACACCCCTGCACACGCAGCAGTGCGCGTGATGACGGCAGGCTCCTTCCAAACAGGAAAAGAAGGCACAACTGAGAACCCTCCCTTCTTCCACCTCAGAGAACAGCCAAGCCTCTGCCGCAGGAGATGGTTTTGTTTCCTTCCTGAGACGGCGGGAAATGGAGACTTGGAACACCAACGTGTGATGCACACAAACACCCAGGAGATCGGAGTCGTGGTCTGTCGCTTCAAGTCACCAATACCAGTGGGGTCCAGTAACAGGACCCCTACGGTGGACTGCCAGTTGTGGAATGCAGTACTTAGGCAGCATGACCAGAGGCATCTTTCAAAATCCAAGGGGAATGAGACCAGGGCATGGATTTCAGGGGACTTGTGGACACATGTTTCTTTCCTGTGAGTAGACTGATCGTGACACACACACACACACACACACACACACACACACATACACACACACATATATAAGAGTTTTGGCCATGGGGCTTATGTGCTTGCTGGAGAGAGACAGACAGAGGTAAAGTGAGAAATCTCCCTTTGGTGGGATGGAGGCGGTTGACCACACCACAATCTGTCCTCCACTCTCCTCTTAGAATTTTGGGCATGCATGTACACATGCCTGCCATGTTTTCAGGCTGCCATTTGAGACTCGATCTGTGGAGTTGGCCAGCACCTTAAGCATCTCGCCACCTGCTGGCCTTTTATTTTTTTTCTTGAAGGCGTCCTTGCTTTCTTCCAAAGAGGGCAGAGCCTGGCTAAATCCTACTGTACATGGAATGAAGAGATCTTTCCTCATTGGGTCACGGATGGAAGAATCACCCTACAGAATAGAAACACCTAATTCAGGGTTCCCAAGGGAAGGATCTGTAGAAAATGAAAGGCCTGTGTCCTCGTAGGTTGGTGGGCTTGCTCTGGAAGCACGAGACTGCCCTGGTATGAATCATGACCTTATATATCGCTGCAGAGGCGCGTATGTGATTCAAAGTTTCCATGGGGCTTTGTAAAAATGAGAAACATCTGTGGCAGCAGTAAACAGCTGTCTCCCCCAGGTTTCACAGCTCTGAGAGGACGCCGCCGAGGTGGGGGCCCCCCAGCACCTGCTGCCTCTGTGCTCTCATGACACCCCTGCACACGCAGCAGTGCGCGTGATGACGGCAGGCTCCTTCCAAACAGGAAAAGAAGGCACAACTGAGAACCCTCCCTTCTTCCACCTCAGAGAACAGCCAAGCCTCTGCCGCAGGAGATGGTTTTGTTTCCTTCCTGAGACGGCGGGAAATGGAGACTTGGAACACCAACGTGTGATGCACACAAACACCCAGGAGATCGGAGTCGTGGTCTGTCGCTTCAAGTCACCAATACCAGTGGGGTCCAGTAACAGGACCCCTACGGTGGACTGCCAGTTGTGGAATGCAGTACTTAGGCAGCATGACCAGAGGCATCTTTCAAAATCCAAGGGGAATGAGACCAGGGCATGGATTTCAGGGGACTTGTGGACACATGTTTCTTTCCTGTGAGTAGACTGATCGTGGCTTTCTTGTTTGGAAGAAGGAGGAAGGAGGCTGGCCAATTGCAGCTCAAGATATTTCTTCTCCAAATGCCTGGTCCAAATTTTAAAGAGGACTTTATCTTTTGCAAACTTGTACTTTCCAGTTGCCTGTTCTATGAGTTTGTTTGGTTTGGTTTTAGAGCATGCGACTGTTCCCTTACATCAGGTCCACAAGGTGGACTCCTTCACCCCATCATTGAAGGTGTACAACTCTGGTCTCTAAAAGGAGTGGGTTAGGCAGGCAGGCGCCTACCAGAAGGCTTGATGATGTCTTTGACCACTAGGGGCCTCCCTAAGAGAAGCGATCCGCATTCTGGAGACAAGCTCAACTTCTGACTCAACGTATGGCCTCCAGGTTTGGGCCAAGCATTTTACGACTCACCGCAGCCCCAGACTGTGTTGGGCTGGGCAGGTGCAGAGCCCTTAGGAAACCTTCCCTCTGTTGACAATTTTGGACCTGGTCATGACAATCTGAGGCTGTGGTGGGACTTGACCAGTGATGTTACAACCTCTAGCTCTCATCTGGGAGTCAGAAGAGCGCACAGTGGGTCCTCAGATTCTGGGCTGTACACCTGCTCTCCTTCCCAACTCTCACCTCTTCCCTTCTGGTGTCATCAATGCCCAGACATGGGCCTATCAAGAACAGACGCGGGAGGTTGGACAGATGCACTAACACATAGCTGCGTTTGGTTTTGAACATCACACGTGTGACATCCCTCAAAGTCAATGAAGGTGGTGAGAAGACTAGACCGTCTAGTGTGAAAACCAAACTGGAAGCTTATTATTTGCCTCACACCTGACAACATGGGGCCTAGGGAGGTGCAAAGAAGTCACATGGTCCGAGAAAGAGAATCTCTTCAACTCCTGGTTCCCGGCAACACAAGGAACCCAGCTGCTAAGGAACATGTGCCTAGGGTTTGGGGTTGGTCATGTAGGAGCTCCTTTGGGCTTCTAGAAACTGGAATGGTTTTCTAAACCAACCCGTATTGAAATCCTTATAAGCCCAGGGACATATCTGAGGGTGAAATAAATTGTGTTCATTAAAAAATATGCATATACCGTGAGTGTGTACAGATACAGGTATATGTATGTATGTGTATCTATACATATTAAATCACTCATACCTGGCTTCCCCCACAGCTATTCCAAATTCAAAACGATTTAGTACTGTTACTTTAATAAAGACTGATCAGAGAAGCCCAAACCCAAATTCAGGTCCAGCAACTACCCACTTGTCTCAAACTCTAAATAGTCTTATCTCAAGTGTCTTCACTTCCGTCGCCCTGAGGGCAGGGTGTGACCCACAGGTGCCAGCACCCTTGGGCTCATACCCTTGAAGATACTATCAGCAGTTTCCTGCTTGCAATAAGGGCGGCTGTTGCTTTGGGGGTTGTGGGTGTGGCAAGTCGGGGCCAACTCCAGCTTTGTCCCCAGCACCACGTGTCCCCACAACCACGTTGTAGCTTGCATCTGTTTCTCTTACCTGGCTCTTGGGCCAGACTGTTGGCCACTAGCCAGGGTGAAGCCTCCAAGCATCTGTGAAACTGTCACTAGAGAAAGAGGAAGAGCTCGCTTGTTGAGAACGGAAGTGTGCAAGCGAAGGAGCTGGCTTCCCCAGGCAGGACCGACAACGTCAAGGAGACCGCAGTCCTTGAAGCACTTCCTGGTGACCCCAGTTATTCTGTTAGTCGCCATGGTGATAAACACTCGGGAGCACCTCTCCCCTGACGTCTTGGCCAAACCCCCAGGGTCACATACTGCTAACTTTCAGCCCAAAGGCGGAAACCACCTTCCTGCTTGGTTGCTGCTCGGCCTGGAAGGAATGGCAGCTCTAGAGGGGCAGGTGTTCTAAACAGATGCAGGACATCGTCAAAGGAGCTTTAGGTTTGATCCGACACCCCCTAAAAATTGCAGCGATGTGTCCAGGAGCACCAACACCTCGTCCAGGACACGCGTGCTGGTTTTGCTGTGGGAGACAGGGGGCTGGGTGGGAAGGGCGGCCACAGTACACTTGAGCACATCTGAGTCACTTCCATGTGACCCTCGGCAAAGACAGAAATAGACCCTTTGAAGTGTGGGTCTCTAAGTGAGGAGCTGTGCACGCGCAGGGCCTTCTGAGGGGCTCTGTGCTCCTCCAGCCTCCTCCCACTTCCTCTTCCTTTCGGCAAAAGGAAAACACACAGAGATGACAGGGAAAGGCCATCAGGCCTGACATTTCCTGGCTGTCACTACCACCGACCGCTTCACCGAGCACTGAAGAGAGGACACGGAGGAGGTGATGCTGTGGCAGAAGCCCACATCCAGTGCTGGGGCTGCTTGGTCAGGAAGAGCATGCTGATCCCTCCCAGAGCCGGGGACATGTTGGGGAATAAAGACCTCCTGGTTCAGGAGGCCTTTCCTTCACGTGTTCCTTCGTTCATCCGAGGGGCATGGATCGAAGGCCGGCCGGATACAAGCGCCATTAGGTGCACTAACGGTTCAGTGGTAAGCCCACGAGAGAACGCCCAGGAAGGGCCCAGGTCGTTAAATAAACACAGGCAGGAAGAGAAATCGTCTGTTATCGGGAATAGGCACGCACATACACCCGCCCTAAGCCAACCCATTAAACACGCGTAAGGACTGGCAAAGTGGCTTGATTATAAAGTGGGACGAGGAGAGGCTTAGCCCTCCAGGTTTCCTACCCTGGATCTCAGAAGACTACATCATCCGCTGAGGGTGTTTCATTTACACAAAGGTGAGGCGGCAGCCCAGCCCCCGAAGGGGTGGACGGACACGCGCCTCCTCCACTTACCCTGCGCCCAGTCTGTGACCGGCCGAAGAGCACCTCGGAGGCATCCACACCATCAAAGCGCCGGCTTGGGGGCAGGCTGGCCTGGGCCAGAGTAACCACGGTGGTGAAAATGTCCAGCACGCTGCAGAAATAACAAGACTGAGCTGACCCCAGCTCTTCCCATTGTCTCCCTGATCCTGCTAGGGCTAAAACCCACCTGACCCAGATCAGAGCAAGCACCGACAGTCTCCCGTGCATCTCACCTGTCTACTTCCCTGTCTTTTCGTAAGGTTCAGGCTCAAATCCAGCTCTGCTTCCTACCTAGCTCCTCAGTGCCTTGGTTTTCTAGTCTCTAAAATGGGCAAGGGGCATGATAATAACAGTGCCTGCCCCACAGGGTGGCTGGCTGGCTGCAACACTGAGGTACAGCACCGAGAAGAGGGCCTGGCACTCAGAAAGTGCTTGTTGAATACATAATTATAATTATTCAAAGGTACACTCCTACACGCCTGTCTAAGAATCAAGGGGTTCTACTTGTCACCAAGTAGGCCAGAGTCACTCACTTTATTATTATTTTAGAGAAATTTTTGCTATAAGGCATGTGCACCCACCAGAGAAACAGAAAGTGAGAAATCACCCCCCGGGGGATGGCCACACCGCAATCCCTTCTCCACCATTCTCCTCTCGGGATCTTGGGCACGCACACACATGCACCCGGCGTGAGTTTCAAGCTGCTGGTTCCGGAACATGAACTGCAGTTGGCCACATGGGAGTCCAGGGATGTAACCATCATGCCATCCGCTGATCCCAAGAGCCACTCACGGGAAACAGCATGTGGTAGTTCTCCACAGGAGAATGTTGTCTCCACTTTTCCTGTGGAGACCCTCTGTGTCATCAAGGTCTCTGTCAAGAATGCCACCCCCTTCCTGTGAAACACTCCACTCCCTTCACGTTAGTGCTTCTTGCCCATTACAAAACAGTGTTCATGGTAGAAAACAAGAACATCCAGAAATAAAGAAGAGAGCCCTGGCCATCAAGGTCGGGGTGGAGCACTGGCCTCGTGAAAGAGAGAACACAACCCAAATAGCCCAAGACCCCACGGCGGCCATGGCTAACATGCTGGTGGATTTTGTTAATGAGATTCTTTTCTTCTTTTTAGAGAAAGATTTTTGCTATAGGGTGCGTGCACTTGCTGGAGTGACAGAGACAGACAAAAAGGGAGAAATCACCCCCTGGGAGGATGGCCATGCCTCAATCCTTTCTCTCCCATCCTCCTCTTGGGATCTCAGATGCACATGCACAAGCACCCCGTGTAAGTTTTAAGCTGCCAGGTCTGAGACTCCAACTGTGGTCGACTACATGGGAGTTCAGCTATGTAACCATTATGCCATCTGCTGGTCCCCAAGATTGTTTTTTAAGTCACGTGTTGTCATTTGACTCGAACTCTCCAGCCTGCTGTACTCATGTCTGAAAAAGCTCTTCAGCAAGAACAGGGGGCTATCCTTCCAAGAGAGTGGTTTATCTGAGGGTCAGACCAACTGGGGATCAGAAGGGTTGGGCCAATAGGAGGTTCCATGTCCAAAAGAAAGAGTCCCTGGTACTCCTGAGGATGGGCCCAACAGCAGCCTTCAGGCTTGTGTATGGGGTTCCTTGGGGGCCATGCCTCCCAATTTCTCCACCCTGAGGTCTGGGGAAGGACTCTTGGTCCTTCAAAGAGGCCACAGAAGGGAGCTGTGATGCGGCCTCTCCTCATTCTTCTCTCCAGGCAGAATCTGCCTACTGACCATGGCACAGACTGTCCCTGATTGCCTTCGGCTTTGACAGTCCACGTAGCTGGAGGCTTATCTGTTGAGATCCGCGCACCGGGAGCTGGGATCCCACACTGACACGCGGTCAAGGAGTGCAGAGTCAGCACTCAGAGCACAGAACAGTCCAGAAACCTGTCCAGAGTCCAAGGTTCCTGCCACAACTGGGCAGCCGAGAGGACAACGCAGTCTGAAAAGGCCCTGGTGGTTTGGGGCTGTTTGTTCAAGTTTTCTCTAAATCACGCTTCTAAGAGAGCTCGGCGCCCCAGATGGGTCAAATCAGCGAACAAGAAAAACAGGATCTGCCTTAGAGTTAGGAATGTATTGTATACTTTCTTTTTCCATCTAATTTTCCCCCCCTTCTATCATGAGGTTTCACGTCCTAATTACATAGCATGAAGTCTGACGTTCACAGAATCTTCATGTCTCAGAGTTTGGCAGGAAACTCTGAAAGCCTCTGTCCACCCTCAGCACAAAGAAAACCTCTCGCCCACAAGAAAAGCTGCAGCACGTCCGGTGACTCAGGCCGCTCCAGAGCCCTATCCAGCGCTGGGCTGTCCAAAAGGCCTTTCTGAAGTTATGGGGGAAGCAAAGGCCCTGAAGTTAGCCCTGGAAGAGGGAGCTACCCCTGACCCATGCAGCCTGTTCTCATCCCAGGGCGGGCCCTCAGCTGAGTGAACTTGGACAAAGCTCCTGTCCTAGAAGGCTACCGAAGGGGCTCCTCCTGTAGCCCAGAGGTGAAGGGAGCCGGATCCCACATGGCCAATGGTGGTTCCAGTCTTAGCCCCAATGGCTTGGAAACCATGCCAGGTACATGTGCACGCGCACCAAAATCTGGACAGGATGGAAAAATGAAGAAACTGTGGTATGACTATGTCCCATGGGGGTTGCTTTTCTCCCTCTGTCTCTCTTTGGCAAGCATGTACTTAAAAATAAATAAATAAATGGGCTACCAAATGTACCCTAGCAACTCCAGACTCAGACTCTACCTAACACTCAGTCCGGGGAGTATGTGAAACCCAGGAGAAACAAAAATCCAAAACAAAACCCTGGACTTCTGAATTCTCACTGTTGGTTTAGAAGCTTGGCTTTTGGCAGAGGCACCATCTGGCTTTAATGGTGCCCAGACACATTGGCTTTTATGGGTCCCTTCTCCTATTAAAAACAAAAGTAGGGACCAGCAGTTAGCGTAATGGCTATGTTGCTGGACTCCCACCTAGTTGACCACGGTTTGCGTCCCGGACCCGGTGGCTTAAAACTCACGCCGGGCACGTGTGCGTGCGTGCCCAAGATCCCGAGAGGAGAATGGAGGAGAAGGGATTGCGGCGTGGCCATCACCCCTGGGGGGTGATTTCTCGCTTTCTGTCTCTCTGTCTCTGTCTGTCTGGCGAGCGCATGCGCCCTATAGCAAAGAAACCTCTCCAAAAAAAAAAAAAAAAACGGTAAATTTATAGATAGATAGATAGATAGATATAGATACAGATATATATAATTATATTGTATAAATACATTGACAAAGACAAATATATAAATAATATATGTTAAAACCATTTTATTCCACCTAAAAAAGCCATTTTTCCCCCTTCAGAGTCTAAAAGAAATAAAAAATGCATAGCTCCTGAAAGTCTTTGGGCCTTGGCACTGTGCCTGCTGGGCCTGACAGAGAAGCCAGCCTGCTCCTGGAGAGAGAAGTCCCCCTGTCAGTGGTCCCTTGGTTATGAGAAAGGCAGCCTAGAGCCAGCTCCTGAAAGGAGGGGGCTCTGTGCAATGGCACCAAAGGTGGTCTCAGAGTGGGCAGGGGGACACCTTTCAGGCTCTGTTGCCCATAAGAAAATACTTTCTTTTTTCTTTATGTGGCTCCAGCCAGCTAGGGCTCTGAAGGCTGTTTGTAGGAAGTGTAGGTATTCGTGTTCCTACCCGGGGAGTAGCTGAAGTGGAGACTAGGCGGGAGCAAGAAGGATGAAGAAGGACTCGCCTGGGACCAGCAGCTGGCATAATGGCTATGTCGCTGGATTCCCATGTAGTTGAACGCAGTTCGAGTCCAGGACCCGGTGGCTTAAACTCACACTGGGCGTGTGTGCATGCATGCCCAAGATCCCGAGAGGAGAATGGAGGAGAAGGGATTGCGGCATGGCCATCCTCCCTGGGGGGTGATTTCTTGCTTTCTGTCTCTCTGTCTTTCTGGTGAGCACACGTGCCCTATAGCAAAAACCTCTCCAAGAAAAAAAAAAAGAAAGACTTGCCCACTGGACCCCAAAGTGTGCAGGCTGGGAAAGAAGCCAAAGGCCGTGGGGGCTTGTTCCAACTCAACAGCCCTGGATGCCAGGCCCCTGTGGATGGGAACTGAGTTGCATGCTGGGCGTTTGGGACGGAGGCAGAGTGTGTCCTGGGGTGAGGGGAGAGAGAGCATTTAATCTGGGGAAAGGGTAGATCTACCAGAGGACAGGCAGTGAGAAGATAGAACGGGTTGCTTGGAAGGACTGGGGCACTCAGGACTTGGACAGAGAGAAAGGTTTTCTCTGGAGTGAGGGGCCTCAGAGCAGAACTTCCTTCTGCAGAAGACTTCCTCCTGGGACAGGGGAGTGGTTTCTTTTTAGTAATGAGTTGTAAGTTTCTTCCTGCACTGTCACTCCCTCATATTGTCCCTGAAGAAACCTCGGTGGTGCCTGCCCCTGCCGAGCCTTAGCCTCACAGCAGAGATTTGAGGGGCTATGTCCTCAGAGCCAACTCCGTCTCTCCAACGCTCTCACTCAACAACCAGCACAGAGGACTTGGGGGACCAAATGTTAAGGGCTTTTCCCCACACACCGAGCCAGGGGCAGTTCTGCAGTGGACACCAGCTGGGTGTTCTCTGATTCAGTTCAGTCCTGACACGGTCTGGCAGCAGATCCCACAGATTAAAGATGCCAATGTCAAGCCCAGTTTTCCTGAGCTTCTGACTGATGGGCTCCAGCTACAAACCTGAATTCCCATGACCACCTCCCTCCTCTGGTGTGATTCATTCACCAGACCAGCTCACAGGACTCGGGAAACACTTACACAGGAACTTACGGATGAAGAGATGCTGAGGGTGAGGGACAGGGTACACCACCCTCTGGGACCCTCCACTTGTCCACCTCTCTGGAAGCTCTCCAAACCCTGTCCTCTCAGGCATTTTATGAAGACTTCATCACATAGCCATGATCAAAGCATGCACACTGTCCTGAAAGGGGACTGAACGCAAAGGGCATGATCTAACAGCCAAGACGAGCAGGAACGAGCGGGCCTGTTCATGCAGATTCTTCCTGGCCTCTCTGTGTGGCGTTAGTCCCTCCTGGGGACAGAGCAGGATCCCTCT